CGCCCGCCCGCGGACCAGGGAGGAATCGAACCCGCGACCCGGTTCCGGGAGCAGGCGCGCGAACCACGAGACAACTCCCGAGGACCAGTTCGAACAACAAAAGTCGCAAAAAACCTCGAGTTTTTGCACCTCGACCACGCCGATCCCCGCAGAGGGTCGCGCGAGCACCGCAGAAATCGCAAAAAAACCTCGAGTTTTTGCACCTCGACCACGCCGATCCCCGCAGAGGGTCGCGCGGGAACTTTAGAAAGAAATCGCAAAAAACCTCGAGTTTTTGCACCTCGCCACGATCGCCGATAGAAAAGACCCGATCGCGCGCAGCAGGGCAGAAATCGCAAAAATCCATGAGTTTTTGCACCTCGACCACGCCGATCCCGCTGAGGTCGCCGCGAGCACCGCAGAAATCGCAAAAAAACCTCGAGTTTTTGCACCTGACCACGCCGAGCCCGCAGGTGGGTTCGAGCGGGGGGGGAACTTTAGAAATCGCAAAAAACCTGGGTTTTTGCACCTCGACCACGCCGATCCCGCAGAGGGTCGATTTTTCGTGTGTAGTGTCGTCGGCACTACCCCGCCGCCCTAAGAAGAGATTTTAACTCCTCGCAAGTCAATTGCACTTGACTCCTTGCACTTGCAACTTGCACTTGACTCCTTGCTTGTTTCAAGGAGTCATTGCAAGGAGTCATTGCAAGGAGTCATTGCAAGGAGTCATGGCAAGGAGTCATGCAAGGAGTCATTGCAAGGAGTCATTGCAAGGAGTCATTGCAAGGAGTCATTGCAAGGAGTCATTGCAAGGAGTCATGAGAGCCATTGCAAGTTGCAAGGAGCCAAGTGCATGGAGTCAAGTGCAAGTCGCAAGTGCACGGAGTTAAGTGCAAGTTGCAAGTGCAAGGAGCCAAGTGCAAGGAGCCAAGTGCATGGAGTCAAGTGCAAGTTGCAAGTGCATGGAGTCAAGTGCAAGTTGCAAGTGCAAGGAGTCAAGTGCAAGTTGCAAGTGCAAGGAGTCAAGTGCAAGTTGCAATCCTTGCTCCTTGCAATGACTCCTTGCAATGACTCCTTGCAATGACTCCTTGCAATGACTCCTTGCAATGACTCCTTGCAATGACTCCTTGCAATGACTCCTTGCAATGACTCCTTGCAATGACTCCTTGCAATGACTCCTTGCAATGACTCCTTGCAATGACTCCTTGCAATGACTCCTTGCAATGACTCCTTGCAATGACTCCTTGCAATGACTCCTTGCAATGACTCCTGACTCCTTGCCATGACTCCTTGCAATGACTCCTTGCAATGACTCCTTGCAATGACTCCTTGCAATGACTCCTTGCAATGACTTTCATGATGATGATTCCTTGCAATGATTCCTTGCAATGACTCCTTGCAATGACTTTCATGATGCTGATTCCTTGCAATGACACCTTGTAATGACTCTCATGAGGACAACTCAAGTGAACCCAGCGGAAGAACCCTTCGCCATGCTTTCGGGAACAAAAGAAAGTTCCTCCTCTGGCGAGTCAAAGGCTTCGTGTTGATGTCGGACAAATTCATGCGTGTCGATACGCATTGCATTCTGAAAATATTCTGCTTCACTGCTCTTTGCGTCCAACACATCCTCACAGAAATGTGCTTCAGTCTGCCAATCCCCTGCCTCTGCATCCAAGCACGGGCACTTGAGGAATCTGAAACGATTGTCATATCCACACTGCTGTTGGTCATCCACTCAAACAGCTCCTTTGCCTGCAACCCTTCACATGCTGCACCGCTTGCTGCTAACAGTTCAGCCTCGCAACTGCTAAGGCTGATGCTCTTCTGCGATCGAGAGTGTGATTCGATCAGCACTCCATTCATGTAGGCGACACTCGAAGAAGTACTGTGTCGGCCATTCTGTGATGCCGCCCAATCACTATCTGCGAAAATCTCCAAACAATGGTTCTCACCATGCTGCTGCTCCTTCCCAACAACCTGTGCAAACTGCGAAAATCCCCTGAAAGTGTATGGAAGAAAAATGCCATACTCTGCGGTCTGCTTGTAATGCAAAATCAAATGTTTCAACGTTTGCATCGCACCTTTCGTTGGCTTAGACATGCGCATAGCAAGCAATCTCACTGCATACTGCAAATCCATCCGGTCATGGCTCACATAGAGCATTGTCCCCAAACCACTGCGAAAAAGACCACATGCTTCACCAGTAAGTTCTTCATCTTCGTGATTAACTGTTGATGGGGTTGGAGTGGGCTTCCCGCGCCTATCTTCCAAGTGGAAGGCTTTCAACAATTGTTTCACATACTTGTCATTGGGTTTTACCACAATCCCCTTCTCAGTGAAATAACGCCGCTTCTTCAGGAACATCACCGGCTCATCTGCATTGCTATTTCGCCTGCCAATTGGACCTTCAACAGTCACTTCCACTCTGCTCTCAAACATGTCTTGCAACCAAAGCAAATCTGTATGACAACCTGCTGCCGCAATGTCGTCCACATGTACTGCCAAGACCAACTGTCTGCTCTGGTGTTTGAACAAACAGGGCATTCCAACATTCTGCTCAAAACCAAACTCAATGAGTACAAGTGTCAGGGACTCAAACCAATTTGCACCGGCCGCTCTTTGTCCTGGAAGGCATAAAAGCAGCGTCCAGTAGTCCTCTTCCACATTCAGCATCGTCTTGCACCACTTGGGCACTTCAATCACAGTAAGCTCCTTCTGATTCACCAATAAGAATGCCTCTCGAACATCAAAAAACATGATTGACCAGCCCATTGAACAGCACAACGTCAAAATGAGTCGAATAAGCACTGACGTTGAGGTTGGCGCAAAAGTGTCACACGTCGAGCTCTCACCTGCCCGATACTCACGCGCCACAAGTCTGCATCTTCTTTTCCACTGGTCTGAACGAAACCGCCAATCCCAAACTGTTCTTGTATCCAGGATCTTGCCAGAATTTACCTCCTCATCCGTCGCCGGCCTAATCACATTAAGCCGCTCCATCAATTTCACAATCTCATCCTTTCCAGCTCTCCTTTCTACTTCGGCCAATTCAGCTTCCGACAGCTTGGGTGGCCCTTCAGGTTCTCCTTCTTCTTCACAAAGCTCCATGGGTTCATACTCTTCATCGTCCATAGCATCTTCCCAATGCTCATCATCATCCCAAGCCTCAAGAACTTGGTTCACGCCCATTCGAGGTACCTTAGCGGGTCTCTCTGCAACTTCTGAATCATCAACCATTTCGCCACTGGCAGTCGACGTCTGCCTATGCACGCCAGATGGAGCTGAACCGCTTGCCCCACCTGCCTGAGAATTCCCACCAACCAGATCTGAAAGCATCGCATCATCCGGTAACAGCTGACCATCACTGCCACCCTTTGAAGTTGGTGTCACAGAATCCTCCTCCTTGTTGTCTGCAACCTCCTCCACAATACTCGGCAGAACCAAACTGCTCTATAAATGTTTAACCTCTTTCTGCTTCTGCTTTCCATATGGCTGCACATCTATTGCCAAAACCAAATCACCTCTCCAAGGACTTGTTGTTCGCCGAATTGCGCGCCCACGCTGGATGCCGGACTTTGTACACACCACATGCAAATCTTCGCTCGTCTTTCCCAGCCAAATGCCAAAGACCCACAATGGACCAGCATTTTGTCCAACTGATTTCTGCAGAAGGTAAACCGCTTCACCATAAGCCGTCACCTTACCAGAGTAAGGCCTTCCAAATGCACATTCATACGGCGTTTCCTTCAACAGTGTGTGCCTCATGTATCTGCAAATCAACTATGCTGCATGCTGCATTCCCCATGACCAAACAGAATGGTTCTGAGGAATCTTGATTTCACATTTGTCTTCAATCATCGCAATGAGAGTTGAGCATTGGCGCCTAACAGTCCGGGATGCACCCGCTCCGCTTGACGGCCAAAGCTGCTGTTTGGTCATGCATCTCTAGCCACAAGAGCGCAAGGTCGAAAAAACAACAAGGAGACACAAGAGAGGGGGGGGGAACGACATCAGCACCCATAGTTTCGGCGCATACCCCTAAACACGAGCGCCCCCCATGGAAATGCCCCACATGCGGGCCTTATAAGCTGGGCAAATACATAGTAAATAACTACACATATACACGTCAAATCTGCCGAAATCCAAACATTCTATATTAATTGGCCGTCCATCATCCAACAGCAATTCATGCAAGCTGAATATTGCCAAGACAACAAGTCGCAGGATACCTTCTTTCCGTTCCGGCATCCTTGCTTCCAGAAACAACAAAACAGGGGAAACACCTGACTTCTGAAAACAACACTGGTTGAAAGGAATGGTTGGAATCATCCCATTGAGCCACAATTGAAACGCATAAAGAACTCATGTGTACATGCGCGCTACTTCGGCGCTGATATTTGGAGCTGTCCAAGGAATGCGCGTACAAAGCAAACCACAACAGTTGGTCTTGGAGGTTGAAGGAAAATCAACAAACATAAATTTGTTAGCCCCCTATTTTGATTTTGACATATACCTAGCTCAAATTAAAACGCCAGGATTCCCTGTCCCATGCAAGGGAAGCTCACTTGCAGCCCCAGCATAGTCAAAACACTCTAGGAGGGGCCTTTCAGGGCGCGCGCTTCGGAATGCAAAAGAAACAGCTCGGAAGGGTTGACTCAGCTTGGATCAGGTTTAACCGCGTTTCCCAGTCCTCGGGATGTGTGTGCCATGGTCTGTCCAGCAGCTCTAAAAAAGATGGACCTATCAATCTTTGACAGGCCAAAAGAAGGAAAGCGTGAAAACAAATGCAAGGTGCTCCGGACATTGGCTACCACCCGAATGTATACGACCGGAACAGTGCATAAATGCTGCGCCTGGTTGCACAGTAAAATAACACGACTGACACCCCAGCATGTGGATTTGCGTTAAAATAGCGGACCCCCGAAAAGAATGACTGAAGGTGGTTTACCATGGCTTCCCTTTAAACAATCCCAAAATGGGTACCCGCTCACACACACAGCCATGTGTGCCTTGCGTTTCGGCTTCATTGCGTGTCGGCCTTGAACGTCTTGCTGTACCCTGATACCACGCTGGGCAACACTAGCACGCTCCTTGTGGCACGCTCAAAATACTAGGGTGAAATGTCCCACCTGCCTCGAGAGACTCGACTGGAAAGCACGGAAAGCTTTTCAAGAATTGCATCGTGTTGCTGTGAGCATTCTGGGCCTTTTGTCAGAATAGCGCGCATGTCGCGGCCCTGGGCATCAGGGCGGCGCCGTGTTGCTCTGAGGTTTGGCAGCAGTTGCACGCGCGACGCAGCGGGAACGCCAATCTCAGGCGCATCACACGGCTCTCTACACGCCCACTGGAAAGGCAAAGACTCGCATCAGCTTCTGACGGTTTTTCTCGACAGATCTCGGAATACTTCACCGATTCGCTCCAATACAGCAAATCCCCCCTACCGTAGCCGGAAGGGGGGCGCGCCGTTTACCTTTTGTTTGATGGGGCAAATGGAAAGGGTGGTGTTCGTTCCTGGCCCTATGGCGGTGACCAATGTTCTAAGGAAACTATGTCGTGATATGGACATTCATCCCGCAGCCACTGCACGGGGCTTGTTTTGGCAGGCAATGGGCCAGGTAGACCACATCACCTTAGGCGTGGCCAGTGCGAAGTCAGTGGTAGACGCCCCTTCCTCAAAAATGGCAGTCAAAGAAAGCTGCCGCCTCAGCCTCATATGCGTGACAGCCGGGGCTGTCTCCCGCCGAAACTAATTTGCCTACACAAACGATTTGCGACGGGCAAAATGCCCTCGTTGCCCTCTGGCTATCCTCATCACCACCCATCCAGGTAGTCCATGGGGTGGCTCGAAGCGCAACCACCCAACTTCCACTCCCTCAATTGTCGGTCAGAGGTACAACGGGCTGCATACGGGGAAGCGCATGTCGCGCGATGACGCCGAGGTCGCCACTCCTCTCCCTTACACGCGGAGGTGGTAACAACAAAGGTAGTGCCGGACCTGCTAAACTTCGCCCATGCCTTCGGCAGGCTTGGGGGGACCATGTGGAGGTGGCAGACCATCCATGGCACGGGGGGTGCTTCCAAAAGGATACCTGCTGCCCATGCCCAGCACATTGGCAAACACGCGACAAAGCCTAAGCATCTGGCACGCGAGCACCCTTCAAACCTGGCGGGAGCATGAGACATGGGTTGGAAAGAAACAGGCATGGGACATCGAAAAGCACATCAGGGTAAACAGCTTGTGCAAATGATCGGATATTGCCAGGGCAACAAAGGTGAAATCACGGCCTTTGTCTGCCACGTGTTGCAAAACAACCTGATCTGACGCAATCGTCTGCTTCCTATTGTCCTCGCAGCGTCCTTTGCCGACCTATGGTGCGGTTGCACGCTGATGGCAAGGCCGGAAAGGCAGGAGGTGCAGCCAATGGTGTGCACCAGTCAGCATGCCTTCTTGCACAACTTCTCACACGCTTCCAGAGCCAGTCGACTCTTCTAGCTTGTTTGTTCATGTGTCCACGTCTGGACATGTTTGCTTGCGCGGGAACAACACACCACTCAAGTGTCACACCCGACATGACCCGACACTAAGACCCGTCGCAAACAGCTACCTGCAAGCCGCATTGAGGATATACCAGAACTAAGTGCGCTGGCACACGTTTTTGCTGATATGCAGGCCGAATACCCACTAGTCCCGCCAGCAGATATTCGCAGAGGACGCTTTCCTCAGTGCCAACACACAGGTTGCATTGCTTCTTGTTGCGCCAGCATGTTTCCTGTTTGTCTCACACCCCAAAAATAATACACCTTGTGTGAAGGTCGAACATGCATTGTTGACCTTGGGGGCATCTGTGCAGGCTCAGCATGGGGGTGCAGGGATAGGGAGTGGACACGCGTTGTCACTCCTCCTGCACCCCTGAACCTGAACTTTTGAGCAACACCTGTAGAAAAGAGAGCGGCCAGTTAGCATTTCGTCACTGCTTGCTACAGGTCACGCACCCGCACTGCAATGCCGTGGTGAACCACTACAGCTCGAGCTGACGGCTCAAACAGCAGCGACTTGAGACACGGGTGCAGCGGGCGCTCTGGACATTGGTCACGCGCGACAAAGCCTAAGCATCTGCACGCGCAAAGTAGGGCAAGCAAGTCTGCGCGCGAGCAACCTTCAAACCGGGCGGGAGCGGGAGGCATACGTTGGAAGCAACAGGCATGGGACATTGAAAAGCACATCAGGGTAAACAGCTTGTGCAAATGATCGGATATTGCCAGGGCAACAAAGGTGAAAACACGGCCTTCGGCTCCCACGAGCCGCTCAGCTGCCCTGCGGCCTCGCCTTCCACGGCGCCTGCATCAAGGCCGGGGCTGTCAGGATCGGGCGTGTGACACCAATGACCTGCCTTCCTTGAAAACACGACGGCTCCATGCTTTATGCTTTTGGCTGCAAAACGACTTGATCTGACACACTGCGGTGGCTTGGTTGCTTTCTGTTATCCCTCTTTCTTGTGCGCCACGCATCCTCGGCTACTTGACTGACGACATGAACACGCAAGTGTCACCGCAAACTTGGACGTGCCTACGGCGATCTGCACTCGCAACGCATCAACCACATGCCGGCCAAGAAACACACTTTTGATGTGTTGGTGCCGTCATATGCTGACGGCAAGGCTGGGTAGGCACAAGATGCAGCACAGGGTGCGCGCCAAGAAGCATGCTTCCCTGCACATTGTCTCAGGCGTTTCGACCACCAGTCAGACTTTGTAGCAAGCATCGTGTCTATCATGGCAAGTCAGTTCATGGAACAAAAAGGAAACAAAGCTTGCGTGCTCGCACCGAAAAAGGTGACTTTGGACTTCGGTGCAGTGGCCTCCTTGGGATTTGCTGGTCTCTGGCGACAAATTAAGAAGACACATAGCCTCTGCGCATCTCTGCGCCTGCAGAGTGTGGCAGGCAAACTTCAGCTTAAGCTCAATGTCAAGCACACTGGCCACTCGCTTGGCGCTTGTGGGGCAAACAGTGGTCTTGCCGGCAGCCCGACTGCCAATCAACAAAGTCCGAAATGTTCAAGCTGATATCTGTCCGAGCAAGTCTGTGCGCGAGCAACATTAAAATCTGGCGGGAGCGTGAACCATATGTTGGAAGCGACAGGCAGATAAACTTGAAAGCTCATCACGGTAAACAGCCTGTCAAGCCACTGATCCGGCATTGTCGGGCGACACAAGTAACAACACGGCCTTTGGCTCCCACGTTCTGCAAAACGACCTGATCTGACACACTGCAGCGGCTTGGTTGCTTTCTGTTATACCTCTTTCTTGTGTGCCACGCATCCTCGGCTACTTCACTGATGACATGAACACGCAAGTGTCACCGCAAACTTGGACGTGCCTACGGCGATCTGCACTCGCAACGCTTTTGATGTGTTGGTAAGGTCATATGCTGACGGCAAGGCTGGGTAGGCACAAGATGCAGCACAGGGTGCGCGCCAAGAAGCATGCTTCCCTGCACATTGTCTCAGGCGTTTCGACCACCAGTCAGACTTTGTAGCAAGCATCGTGTCTATCATGGCAAGTCAGTTCATACAACAAAAAGGAAACAAAGCTTGCATGCTCGCACCGAAAAAGGTGACTTTGGACTTTGGTGCAGTGGCCTCCTTGGGATTTGCTGGTCTCTGGCGACAAATTAAAAAGACGCATAGCCTCTGCGCATCTCTGCGCCTGCAGAGTGTGGCAGGCAAACTTCAGCTTGGTGGCCAGCAAGCGTGACTTGCCAAGAGGGAGACACAGCCAGAACCCAGAAACCAATGATGGATAACTATTGCGAGGCGAAGAAAACACGACGAGCGGACGGCCGCCGCTGCCAACCCTGTCCAACAACAAGCTCAATGTGGCAGTCAAGCACACTGGCCACTCGCTTGGCGCTTGTGGGGCAAAGCAGTGGTCTTGCCGGCAGCCCGACTGCCAATCAACAAAGTCCGAAATGTTCAAGCTGATATCTGTCCGAGCAAGTCTGTGCGCGAGCAACCTTAAAACCTGGCGGGAGCGCGAACCATATGTTGGAAGCGACAGGCAGATAAACTTGAAAGCTCATCACGGTAAACAGCTTGTCAAGCCAATGATCCAGCATTGTCAGGCGACGCAAATGAAAACACAGCCTTTGGCTCCCACGTGCTGCAAAACGACCTGATCTGACACACTGCGGTGGCTTGGTTGCTTCTTCTTATCTCTGAAACTTGTGCGCCACACATCCTCGGCTACTTGACTGACGACATGAACACGCAAGTGTCACCGCAAACTTGGACGTGCCTACGCCGATCTGCACTCGCAACGCATCAACCACATGCCGGCCAAGAAACACGCTTTCGATGTGTTGGCGCTGTCGAAGGCCCAGCAGCCACACGGCGCAGCACATGGTGCGCGCCAAGCAGAATGCCTTCCTGCACATTGTCTCAGGCGTTTCGAACACCAGTCAGACTTTGTAGCAAGCATCCTGTCCAACATGGCAAGTCAGCTCAGTTAACCAAGACTCGCACCAAGGAAGGTGCAACCAGGACTTTGCATAGCTCAGGCGGTGGCAGCTCTAAAAGTGGGCAAAGAGCCCCAAGAAGGGGCGCTCTTGGGGCTCTTTACCTCTCACTAAAGCGCAGGCCTGGAACATTGACATGGCTTGACTTTCTCAAATCACCAAGTGCAGCAAAGGATGCTGGGACACTTGGGTCTGCCAGTTGTGACTCAAGCAGCGGGGGATTTTGGTGCACATACCTCGGCAAAGCGTCGTGCGACAAGGGCTCCTAGTGCCAAGCCATCGCGCCATTTACGCATTTGGTGCAAAAACACAACCAGCGGGCTTGGTAAATCTCTCCAGCAACAAGCCGAATTCGGCAGTCAAGCATGCTGGACACCCGCTGGGCACTTGTGGGACAAAGCAGTTGCCTTGCTGACAGCCTGACTGCCAGTCAACAAAGTCCGAATACGTAAAAGCTGACATCTGCCTGATCAGCAAGTCTGTGCGCAAGCACCCGACAAACCTGGCGGGAGAGCGAGCCATACGCCGGAGGCAAGAGGCACGGAAAATGGAAAGCAGATCAGGGTAAACAGTCTGTGCGCATGAACCGGCATTGCCAAGGTGATAAAAGTGATAACACGGCCTTTGGCGCCCGCGTGCTGCAAACCGACCTGCTCTCACACACTGCAGCTGCTCGGTCGCTGCTTGTTGCATCTGACCCTTGTGTGCTCCAACAAGCCTGGCTACTTGAGTCACAACAGGCAGACCCAAGTGTCACAGCACCCTTGGCTGCACTTTGGGCAACCTGCGCCCAAGCCGCATAAAAGACAAGCCAAGCAAAAAACATTCTTTCACTGTGTTGGCGCAATTGTGTGCTGATGGCGAGGCCGGGTAGGCACAAGGTGCAGCACCTGGCGTGCGCCAATCAGCCTTCCTTTCTGCACGGCGAGGATTAGTCAGCTTCTGTAGCAAAGATTGCGGCCAGCATGGCAGCTCAGCTCGAACAACACAGAGAAAACAAAACTTGCACACTCGCACAGAGCAAAGAACCTGCGCTTCGCTGCTTCCCTGGTGCAGCTCAGGCACTGGCGGCAGCAGCCAGCACTTTGTGCCTTGTTGGTCTGGCGCGACAAAGCCAAGAAACAGGTAGCCTCTGCGTGTGCCACACATGTCAAGCCAACATCAGCTTGGTGGCCAGCAGAGAAGCCGCCATGATACAGCAGCAATTGTTTGGTACTGCGCGGCGAAGGAAACACAACCAGCGGGCTTGGTAAATCTCTCCAGCAACAAGCCGAATTCGGCAGTCAAGCATGCTGGACACCCGCTGGGCACTTGTGGGACAAAGCAGTTGCCTTGCTGACAGCCTGACTGCCAGTCAACAAAGTCCGAATACGTAAAAGCTGACATCTGCCTGATCAGCAAGTCTGTGCGCAAGCACCCGACAAACCTGGCGGGAGAGCGAGCCATACGCCGGAGGCAAGAGGCACGGAAAATGGAAAGCAGATCAGGGTAAACAGTCTGTGCGCATGAACCGGCATTGCCAAGGTGATAAAAGTGATAACACGGCCTTTGGCGCCCGCGTGCTGCAAACCGACCTGCTCTCACACACTGCAGCTGCTCGGTCGCTGCTTGTTGCATCTGACCCTTGTGTGCTCCAACAAGCCTGGCTACTTGAGTCACAACAGGCAGACCCAAGTGTCACAGCACCCTTGGCTGCACTTTGGGCAACCTGCGCCCAAGCCGCATAAAAGACAAGCTAAGCAAGAAACATGCTTTCACTGTGTTGGCGAAATTGTATGCTGATGGCGAGGCCGGGTAGGCACCAGGTGCAGCACATGGCGTGCGCCAATCAGCCTTCCTTTCTGCACGGCGAGGATGAGTCAGCTTCCGTAGCAAAGATTGCGGCCAGCATGGCAGCTCAGCTCGAACAACAGAGAGAAAACAAAACTCGCACACTCGCACAGAGCAAGGAACCTGCGCTTCGCTGCTTCCCTGGTGCAGCTCAGGCACAGGCGGCAGCAGCTTGGGACGCAAACGCAGGAGGCCCTTTGCACCTTGTTGCTCTCCAGCGAACAAGAGCAACAGGGACGGAAAATGGAAAGCACATCAGGTCAAACAATTTGTGCGCATGATCCGGCATTGCCAAGGCGATGAAAGTGAACAAAGCCTTTGGTTCCCGCATGCTGCAAAATGACCTCATCTGACGCACTGCAGCTGCTCAGTCGCTGCTTGTTATATCTGAACCTTGCCTGCACCAAATTGCTGGGATGCTTGAGTCACAATAGGCAGACCCGAGTGTCACAGCATGATTTGCTGCACTCTTGGCAACCTGTGCCCAAGCCGCATAAAAGACAAGCTAAGCAAAAAACATTCTTTCACTGTGTCGGCGCAATTGTATGCTGATGGCGAGGCCGGGTAGGCACAAGGTGCAGCACATGGCGTGCGCCAATCAGCATTCCTTTCTGCACGGCGAGGATTAGTCAGCTTCTGTAGCAAAAAATGCGGCCAGCATGGCAGCTCAGTTCGGAGAAAACAAAACTCGCACAGAGCAAGGAACCTGCGCTTTGCTGCTTCCCTGGTGCAGCTCAGGCACTGGCGGCAGCAGCCAGCACTGTGTGCCTTGTTGGTCTGGCGCGACAAAGCCAAGAAACAGGTAGCCTCTGCGTGTGCCAAACATGGCAAGCCAACATCAGCTTGGTGGCCAGCAAGCGTGGCCTGCCCAAACCGAGAAACCGCCATGATACAGCAGCAATTGTTTGATACTGCGCGGCGAAGGAAACACAACCAGCGCGCTTGGGAAATCTCTCCAGCAACAAGCCGAATTCGGCGGTCAAGCATGCTGGACACCCGCTGGACACCCGCTGGGCACTTGTGGTACAAAGCAGTGGCCTTGCTGACAGCCTGACTGCTGCCTGATCAGCAAGCCTGTGCGCAAGCACCCGACAAACCTGGCGGGAGAGCGAGCCATACGCCGGAGGCAAGAGGCACGGAAAATGGAAAGCAGATCAGGGTAAACAGTCTGTGCGCATGAACCGGCATTGCCAAGGTAATAAAAGTGATAACACGGCCTTTGGCTCCCGCGTGCTGCAAACCAACCTCCTCTGACACACTGCAGCTGCTCGGTCGCCGCTTGTTACATCTGACCCTTGTGTGCTCCAACAAGCCTGGCTACTTGAGTCACAACAGGCAGACCCAAGTGTCACAGCACCCTTTGCTGCACTTTGGGCAACCTGCACCCAAGCCGCATAAAAGACAAGCTAAGCAAAAAGCATGCTTTCACTGTTTTGGCGAAATTGTATGCTGATGGCGAGGCCGGGTAGGCACCAGGTGCAGCACATGGCGTGCGCCAATCAGCATTCCCTTCTGCACGGCGAGGATGAGTCAGCTTCCGTAGCAAAGACTGCGGCCAGCATGGCAGCTCAGTTCGAACAGCACAGAGAAAACAAAACTCGCACACTCGCACAAAGCAAGGAACCTGCGCTTCGCTGCAGCTTGGGACGCAAACGCAGGGGGCCCTTTGCACCTTGTTGCTCTCACGCAACAAAGCCTGCAAACAAGGCAAACAAGCTTCAGCCTGGTAGCCGCCGGTGGCCGGCAAACCTTGCGCAATGCACGGTTTGGCTTACGCGGCACATGCAGAGGCTTTGCTCACGCCGCCAGCTTACGTTGATTTTCGGAGTTGCAAGTGTATCATCAAGAGTGGCAAAGCACAGTCGGTGACGCAAGAATCCCAATCTGTTTGAGGCTTAGGTGACTTGCTGCACTAAAACGATTTATGTTCTCCATTGTCATTGTAAAGCTCTAGGCGTCCCAAAGCTTTAGCGTGCTTGCTTCATGCCTTTTGTTGAAGCAATTGCACCCTTGGTTTTCCTGGGCGCCTCAATCTATTCGGTGGCATGCTAAGCTTGAATGCACGTGCCACTTACCTGATTGGAAACGCCTTGCAAGTTCGATCAGTCTGTTTTGCCGCATAGGCTCGGAGTTCGCCTTGCGTTTCAAGCTGAGCCGTCAATCCAGCAAAGCATTTTGTTTGGCGACAAAAGGGTCCACGGACTGAATCATTCAACGTCAAGGACATTCCACGGGAGCATGCGGTGATGATTTGCTTGTTCAAGAGCATTCAGTGATGAGCTTTGCTTTCTTGGTCTCTGTTGCCCAGTTGTTGTCCGCCCATCCTGTTCAATGCATCTCATGTTTTTGCGCACACTCCACTTTGCCTCTTGGCTTAGTTGCACTCACATGATCGCCGCGAGTTGCCGGTTTCTTCCTCATATATCCAAGATGTGTATTGGACGCAGACCTCCGTTGCTGTCACTAAATTGCGGCAGCATGGACAAGACTCCAGCCTTGCCCCGTGCACACAAAGTGACATCTCGGGTTTGAGCAAAAGGCATTGGACTTAAGGTGAAGCCAAGGCTCCACGTGAGGCGTGACACTAGGATGCGTTCTTCCCACTTGGAGACATGCCCAGAAAAGATTGTGCAGGATTGCGCTGGCAGATCTTTTTGGAGCGCTACAAATGTCTCATCAAAAGCTGACCAGCTCACAACATAGTCGGCACATAAGAAAAACGGTGGGGAAATCGTCAGTTCCCATCTCTCATTCTCACGGTCTCGCCTGTCTCGCCTGTGTGATGGGACGTGTCTGATGTGTCAGGCAATGTTAGAACGTCAGCTGACAACGGGCGCAAATCATTCTCGCACCAGGTGGCATGCTGTCCCAGACATATTCAGCCATCTGGGAGACTCCTGGCCGAACGCACCAACCAGCTTGTTTGGCCAACCCATCGCGCGGCAAACCCCAAAAGGCAAGCAAGTAAGGCCTCTCCTTGTATCTAATTCAAGGGGTGAACAAAAGACTGTCATTTTGATTTCGGGAAGCAGCTGCCCCTCATGCCAAAATTGTGTCTGTGGCTGGGTCTACATTCAAATTGACCACTATAGTTCTTGCCAGGCTCAAGTGAAACATCGCTATTAGTTGAAAACTCCGCTAACGTGTTCATACTTCTGCAGGCCTGTGTTTGCTTTTTGTTCGCTCCATCACACATAATTAAGCCCAGCTTTACAAGTGATGCGGCGTCGCGAATCGCTCAATGATCAGCACACCCGCCCGACTCCGCCCGCCTGCACACATGCTCCACTGCCAGCACGCTCACCAAATGATGAGCGCGCCTGCGACATGACAAGGGCGCCCGCCCGACCGCACCCACGCTCGACTGCCAGCATGTTTGCAAAATGATGAGCGCACGAATCTCAAAGCTTGTAAAGCTCAGTTGTTGCTCCTTATAAGCCTTCCTAAAGCTCCTTGTATGGCACCTTATACCAAGTTGAATTCTAATTAAATCATTTGATCAGAATTTAGACAGAATTTGATATGGGCATACTTCAACTAGAGTGTCCGTATTCACTGATAATCTAAAGAAGAGGAATGCTGATTTAAAGAGGCATTCCTTTCCGCATATTATTTTGACTTAACATTAAGCAGACTGCACATAGAATTTACTAAGGGAAGAGTTCAATTAGATTGTCTATCTTCAATTAGAACCTAAATCGCATTTGTGTTCAACAAAAAGAACTTGACAGCGGGAAAAGCTCAACTATAACTACGCAAGCTATCCAAGATAATCATCTTCTTGCCATGATGGCCTGTAGGCCCATTCGTCTCTGCTTGATACTGCAGAAATATCTAAAGCACAGCCTGCGCGCTCGAATCAAGCACAACGGGGGCAGCTAATTGGTGGGGGGGGAGGGGGTAACTGGCAAGCTGGCAAGCTGGCAGGTGGTGTGCTGGCAATGCTGATGCTGTGGCGGCGCAGGTCGTAGTCCCTCGAAAACAGCTTAACATGCATGGGTTTGGAGACGCATAGGCTTTAAACCTGTCCGAAACGTTGGCTCTGTGGGAAATCTGGGCGAATTCGCGAAGAGTGTCATCTTGCAAGAACCCGTTCAAGCATCTTTCTAGGTAGTTTGCGGAGTTGCCATTGGTGAGTGATCAAGCATATCATATCTGCAGTTTCAAAAGAACACTACTCTACAGCTCATAGGGCGTCGGTTTG